AATGTACTTAATAGTTCACATAACTTCAGAATCTAATTCCTGAAGAAATTTTCTCAATAGAAAAAAATACATAAGCATGGATCAATAATTCTAAAGGATTATGGATATATGGCTGCTTAAACCTTAAAGGAAAATAAAAGAATTTTATAAACAATGAATAAAATAATAAAGTTTTTTGTTGCGTTCTCTCTTTATATTTATATGCAAAAATATGTTTATTATTATTATTACTATTACTATTAAAAAAGTTTAAATAAATAAATAGATATTGTGAAATCATAGATACGTTTCTTAGAATCTACGAATATTACATAATTCTGTAATCACTCGGAATCACATCCACGCTTACGTCACTTTCTTTGATGACGTCAAAAATTACCTAGATTATACTGAATCATTCTATCAATGCTCAATATCTATTTTCATTTCGAATTATTGAAATATTTTATAATTACTATATATAATAATTAAGAAAGACTGAAATGATTTCTCTCATATTAAAAATTTAAAACACGAAATTTTTTAAATATTACCTATATATATATATATATAAAATTATATAAAATATATATATAAAATTATATATTAAATCAAGTATAGCACTAATAATATTAGTGAAAAAATTTTGTATACAAAAAATTAGTATTTAACAAATGTATTAAAGATATTCCATCTAGATATTTTGAAGTATTTAATAATTTAAAAGTAAGCTGTTATAGAAAAATTTGCAACATATTTATTGTTGAACACAAACTGATTTTTATATTTTATAAACTATTTGTGATCTAATGATGTAGAATAGTGATATTCGAAAGTCATTGGGTCCTTTTAATAACAAATTCTTTAACCAATTCAAAGCCAATATTTCTTTTATTTTCTTTTCTTTCATTAAAAGTTATTATCTTTATTATTATCTTTATTATCGATATTCCAATTTTCAATGTTTTTATATGTAAGTCTCACATTAAAATTCTTAAAATTATTTGAAGAATATAGTTTTATTATTCATTTGTTCTTGAAATTTGATTCACAAATATTTTTTATTTTCGAACATTAGTAATTCAAAAAAAACATTGACTTGACATATCCATTGAGAAAATATCAATTTTGAATTAATCAATATATTAAAAAGACATCTAGTTATTTTGAAATAAGATCTTATGTAGATTCTAAATCTACAATACAATCTATTGAAGAAAAAAACTTAAATATTTTAATTATTTTAGAAAATTATGTGTAAGAGACTTTGTAATTATATGTACATGACAGAAATAAATAATTTCAATATGGTCAACAGTAGAATATAAATTATTGGAATGAAAGAAACATGATAGAAGTGTCTTTAGTAATATTTAATTTTGATATATGTTAAAATTAACTCAATTTACAATCAAGTTAACATTAATAATATAATAAACTAACCATATAGTTTCCTTATATTAATCTATCCTATTATACAAATGATCATTCCAGAAACTTTTTACTGCATCATAAACGAAATCTTTTCCGTTAGAAATTAAATATTATCCCCAACTGTACTTCCATGATATTCATACTGTATATATGTGTACACACATTTTAAGCAACAAGGTGAGTCACTGGCAGCACTGCTTACGCACTCCCTCAGCATTCATCGTTGGTTTGACTTCAATTTGTTCTACATTTTGTGGCCGGATTGTATCACCTTCAGGTGGGTCTCGTATCTGTTTTTGCGATACGATTCTGTATATTTCTGTAAAAACAAAAAATTTTTATTAAATGAAACAATAAAATATGCATGTTTATCATACAATAAATATTAACTCTGATACAGGCAAGTATTTATCTTAATAAAGTGTAATATATATTTAGATATTGAAAAAATATTTAAAAATTATATTACAATAGCATTTTAATGCAAATATTATGAAAAACATACAATTTTAATTTTATTGTAATATTTTCAATTTCCACTATCGCAAAATGAAAAAATTCTATATTTTAATACCAAAAATTATAGCACATATATATATATATATAT